CATACTTGTCCTTCTTGACTTGAGTGCGGCCTTTGATACTGTCTCACATAAAATACTCCTAGAGAGGTTAGCTTCTTGGGATTACTGGCATTCCCCTGTCTTGGTTTAGGTCGTATCTTTCTGGACGCACTCAGCGTATTCAATTAAAAAGTTTCAGATCAAGAACATCTACAGTCACCACTGGTGTTCCCCAGGGTTCTGATTTGGGCCCGCTTCCTTTCATTATTTATATACTCCCTGTTGGTTACATTTTTAAGAAACATGGTATTCATTTTCATTGTTATGCGGATGACACCCAACTTTACCTGTCTGCCAAACCCACTGGTTCTTTTCCTCCACCATCTTTGTCCAGCTGTTTAGCTGAAATTAAAGATTGGCTTTCAGCTAACTTCCTGAAGTTAAATTGCAACAAAACTGAGGCCCTATTTGTTAGCACTAAATCTGTTTTGTCTAAATCTAATTGTTTTTCCTTGTACATTGACAATAATTCAATCTGTCCTTCCTCTCAGGTTAAAAGTTTGGGTGTTATCATGGATAGCACACTATCCTTTGAAACTCAAATTAATAATATCATGTGGACTGCATATTTCCACTTGCGTAATATTAACCGTCTCCGTCCCTTTCTCTCAATCAATAATACAGCAGTTCTTGTTCATGCACTAGTCACTTCACGTATAGAGTACTGTAATGCCCTTCTCACTGGTGGTCCCTCTAAATTGCTACATAAGCTCCAGTTGGTTCAGAATTCTGCAGCTCGTGTTCTTTCTAGAACACCCTCTACTGAGCACATTTCATGTTTACACCCCTTCACGTGCTCTCAGATCCTCATCTTCAATTTCTCTTGTGGTACCTCGGATTCGACTAACTACCATGGGTGCCAGATCTTTTAGCTATGTTGCCCCTCGCCTATGGAACTCCCTTCCCCCTGATATTCGCAACAGCGATTGCCTGCTGACTTTTAAAACGCGTCTTAAGACATATCTTTTTATACTGTTTTATTGAGTCTTTACTGCACTTTATCTGTATATGCGGAGAGTTTGTTGTGTGTTTTTTTTTGTGTAGTGATTTGTATTTCTTTTTATTTCAGCTAACTTCCTGAAGTTAAATTGGAACAAAACTGAGGCCCTACTTGTTGGCACTAGATCTGTTTTGTCTAAATCTAATTGTTTTTCCTTGTACATTGACAATAATGCAATCTGTCCTTCCTCTCAGGTTAAAAGTTTGGGTGTTATCATGGATAGCACACTATCCTTTGAAACTCAAATTAATAATATCATGTGGACTGCATATTTCCACTTGCGTAATATTAACCGTCTCCGTCCCTTTCTCTCAATCAATAATACAGCAGTTCTTGTTCATGCACTAGTCACTTCACGTATAGAGTACTGTAATGCCCTTCTCACTGGTGGTCCCTCTAAATTGCTACATAAGCTCCAGTTGGTTCAGAATTCTGCAGCTCGTGTTCTTTCTAGAACACCCTCTACTGAGCACATTTCTCCAGTTCTTCAGCAATTGCACTGGCTTCCAGTAAAGTATCGAGTTGAATTCAAGATCTTGCTACTTACTTACAAGGCACTTCATCCCTGATATTCGCAACAGCAATTGCCTGCTAACTTTTAAAACGCGTCTTAAGACATATCTTTTTATACTGGCTTTTTTATATTGTTTTATTGAGTCTTTACTGCACTTTATCTGTATATGCGGAGTATTTGTTGTGTTTTTGTCTTGTGTACTGATTTACTTTTTTATTTTTCTATCTTTGCTTGCTTGTGAGGTGACCTTGGATGTTTTGAAAGGCGCCATTAAATAAAATGCATTATTATTATTAAATATTAGGGGGGAAAACAATTTCATAGAGACATCAGTAGTATTGGTATCAGTGATACTGGCCTTCAGTCATAAAAAAAGATGCCATTAAACAAATATTAAAAATATATTGTCATTATGTTGTTTGTACATTCATTTGAAGATTTAATGTGAAATTATTGCAATATAAAAGTATATTTAAAAACTTTAATGTTAGGTGGGATTAATCGCTATTAATTTTAGAAAAAAATGTGCGATTTAGTTTTTTTTTTTATTGACAGCACTAATATATATATATATATATATATATATATATACACACACA